GTTTGATACCAAACGAAGAATAAAAATATACTTCTTCTGGTTAATTGCGAGAGTTGAAATAATTGGTATGATATGACTTAATAATTGAGAGTATACAATAATGTAATAGTATGATATAATAATTGAGATATAATAATATAACAGTGTAATATAATAATTGAGAATAATAATATAACAGTGTAATATAATAATTGAGATGTAATAATATAATAGTGTAATATAATAATTGATATAATATAATATAATACAATATAATACAATATAATATAATATAATATAATACAATATAATATAATATAATACAATATGTAATAAGATAATAAAATATATTCTAATTTAATAACAAACTACAAATATAGTTATATTATGTACAACTATATTTTATATTAATATTCTACAACTGTATAAGAGTATAATGTAGTATAATGTGTAATAAATATAATGCAATATGAATATATATAATATAAAAGTAATATAATATAAAACAATATATATAATATATAATGTTACGTGTATAATGTAAAAATAATAATATTATATTTGTATTATATATATAATATAAATATAATACAAAAGTTATATAGCATAAAACAATATACAAATATTAAATATTAAAAACAATATGTAATATAAATATATAAGTATAGTATAGTATAATATAATATAATATACTGTAATATAATATAATATAATATAATATAATATAATATAATATAATATAGTATAGTATGATACAAAATAATATATACAGTAGTATAATAAAATCGTTATTCATTGAAATGAATAATGACAGAAATGCAACTTTGAATCCTAAATTGACATTATACTATATACCAACCATCATTTTCTTTTTTGTTCAACTTCGAGCAATCTGTCGAAAATACCTGGACAAGTTGCGTGTTCGAACGCCTCGAGACCCTCCTTAACCCGGTCTCACGAAGCGTGGCACGTGGAAAAATAGAGGGTCGACTTCCTCCTGGAGGGACGTAGGTGGAACCGGGTCCCCTCGTAAAAATTGTCGGGTTCGGAGATAGCCAACAAGTTGCTAACGTCGAATCGATAAAGGCGAGGGAGTCGAGACGTGACTCCTGACTCCTCGCCCAACGGCGAGATCTCTCCTTTTTTTCTTTTTCTCTTTTCTCCAATCTCCCGCCCTCCCGAGTTTCTATCTCTTTCATTTCTCTTTCTCTCCAAGCTCGTTTGCAGAGACACTTTTGTATCTATATTTCCTCTTTCTCAACAATAACATGATTATTGGCAGGCAGTGTGAGTGAAATATATGTATGTTCGGTCTTCTTCGAGATGAGCAAGTAATTAATGCAATTATGATTAATAATACGAAGAAGTTGTGTGGTAGAAAATGTAGTAAGTGTAGTAAATGTAACTAAACTAAACCGTAGTTTATAACATACATATATATAATATATATTAATAATATTAATAATATAATTAATTATATATAATAATATATCAATATACTATAATTTGTATATAATATATTAATTTGTAATTAATATACAATAATTTGTATATAATATATTAATAATATATACTATATAATATATATAATGTTTATATATAATATATTATGATATATTAATGATATTACAATAAATATATATTATTATAATATAATAAACATTTATATTATAATTACATAATATATAAACATTTATATTATAATTACAACCACACATTACAATTATATTATAAACCACAAATATTATATTATAATTATAAAGTTAGTCTGTATTTATTGTTTTATTATATATAATATATATATATATATAATATTGTTTAGCTGTGTTTATTGTTTTATTATATATTATTACAATAATTATATACATACATATATTATCATAACAAACATATATGCATTTCTAACAAATATTTGTCAGAAATATCATATTACATTTCTACGAATATTTATGAATATTACATTCTAATTATAAACTCTAATTGATTTATATTTATTGCCAATTATTATCGTATATCATTCTAATAACATATCGATAAATTTTACTCGTACATTAAATATAACTACGCCACATATAAACATACATTTCACAGTTTTATCATTCTTCTGTATTATCAACAATATTGCGATCTTTCATCGAGAGAATAATCACTTAATTCACAATTATGTATTAACACCATCATAATTTATAATTCTGTTAGTATTCTCCATTTGCTCCATTTGTTTAGTATCTCCATCGCTTTTGCCAGTCCTTGTTCGCCTTCCATTCGTGCCGGTATCTCTCAAGCTCGCCCTTAGCCTCTGTCTTCTCCAATTCCCCGTTCCCTTTCCTCTTCTCTCTCTGTCTCTCTCTCTCTCTCTCCCTCTCTTTATTTCTGTCGCAAGCCCCGAGACTCTCCCAACTGTGCCTCAAACGTCTTCGAGGAGTCGACGGTAATTGAGTTCTTTTACATCGGGGCGGTTCTCGACTCGCTGTAAATCCGAGAGCACGCCCGCGAGATGTCGGATCCGCGTTATCAATTCTTCGTCGAGCACCGCAAGCGACCCTCTCCGCCAGATAAGCTTCGTCGGTTATCGGTCGCTCCCGATTTGCCACCGAAGTCGCGGCGGGATCCGTTGACTTCCACCACTGCGCGGATCTGCTGATTGCAAACGAGGCTTTCGACGGGGGAGGCTTTTGCTTCGATCGAGTCGAACTCGAGGAACTCGAAAATTCGAAAATTGGAAGGATTAGAACCATGATTTCCACCTCGTAGCGAGGCAACTTGATTTGCTAGGCGACTGAGTGAATTTCTTGCATTCATTTCAAATGAAAATTTCACTTCTCGTGGATGTCACGTTCTTTGGAAGATTGTTTAGACCAAGTTACAATGGCCTTTCTAGTCTAGAATATTAGGAATTACAAGAATTTTTAATATTTAATTTTAATTTTTTCTAAATATTTGATATTTAATTTTTTTTAATAATAATTTAATACTTTGATATTATATTAATAATAATACATTAATAATTTAATGTTATAGTTTTAATATTAAAATATTAAAATATTAAATTATTAAATAATATTTTTTAATAATAATTTAATATCTAATAATATTTAATACTTAATTTTTTTTAAATATTTTAGTTATATAGAACAAGAATAATATAGAATAATGATATTATATAAATATTATGTGAATACGTATATTACGTATATTAATAAGAATTATGTATATATATATATATATATATATATATATATATATATTTAAATCTATATTTTATATATTTTATTTATATATCTTTTATTTATATATATTTATATATATATATAATTAAATACGAATATACTATTTTTATATATATAAAGTCATATTTCTGTCGATATTTCTATAAAAATAGTGTATTTCGTAAAATAGTGTATTTTTTTATATAAATTTTGTATAATTATATATTTATGTATATTCTTCCATTTAATGTATTTTACTAAAAGTCATTCGCGTCTCCAAAAACAGGCTGTCACAAATGTATAAGACTTCTATGGGAAGTTCTAAATTAGTCTTCCGGACCACTGTGACAACCCTAGCGTTGAGTAAACTGTCGCGTAGTAGTTTCCCTTCGAGTAGCGTGGGTCGATGGTTCTTCAGACGATTCACAAACAAACAATTAATTTCGTCGAATTACCCTGCACTGTGTAAATTGGGAGGCGCGTGAACGACAAGAGAGTGCGAAAAATATTAATATAAAATACAATGTGAAATGTTGTGATATAAAACGTAAGTGGTACGAATCAATGGATCCTCGGGCAACGCGAGTATTCGAGAGAGACGTCGCGATCTGTCGATCGACGGAGCACCCATATTTCATCTCTCGGCCGTGCACGTCGTCCCCGAGACGATGGAACACGGATTTTCGACCACCGAGCGTTTAACCAAAGCAAAATACCGTCGGTGATATCGGTTTCGACAGCGGATCTTTCACGTCTTGGCTACGTGCTCGACGCTTCCAATGCAATTCTTTGTACCGCGACTTGAAAGGCAGCCTCGCGCATGGTTTTTGCATAAAAGGGATTGGTAGAGTGTCTTTGAGACGCGAACCGGTCTGTAGTCCTCCTCTTTTTCTCTCCCCTCTCTCGTGAGCGATAAGGGATGATTCATTGGCGCCATAAGTTGCTGGCTACTTGCCCCGTCCCTCGGGTATAATCGAAATTTTCTTACGTGACGTGATATAATATTGTTGGGCATAAAGTGTTTAACCCTCGAATTGCGAATTTGTGTAACTACTTATGCATTCAAGGATTGATTCGACCTTACACACCCTCTTGATTTTGCACGTAATGAAATTATGTAAATTTCGTTCTATTCTTAAAACTGACAGAGCAGAATATTTTTTGAATTGGAACTTGAAACTTGGATTTAAAATTTGCGTGTCTTCAACAAAGGATTGTCCAAATTATTGTAGAACATGCAACGTTGCGAATTTAGAAAAAAATTTTTGGTTGGTCACTTCTGTGTGATTCTACTATTAAAATTGATATTTATTTATATACAAAATATTCTTGTCGAGTGTTTTATGTATTGAAAATAATGAATATTTTATGACGAACGATACTAAAATAGAATTATATAATACAATTCTATTAATAATATGAAATATGTAATATTTTATATATAAATATATATTGATGTATAATATAAATATATTAATACATAATATAATAATATAAAATGTATAATATTTTATATATAAATATATGTTGATGTATAATATAAATATATTAATACATAATATAATAATATAAAATGTATAATATTCTATGTATAAATATATATTGATTTATAATATAATAATTCTATATTATATTATATATCACGCATCATTATATTATGAATATTATAAACTTGAACAAACTTCAAATATATTAAAATGTCAAGAAATCATTCTAAAATCATGTTAAATATTCAACTGTAAAGATACAACATGCAAGTAAGAGGGGTTTCCTTTTAATATTTTGCTAACTGAGAATACTTTCTGATTTCAGGGACGTATTTCATCCTATACGACTTCAACGACATCTTTGAGAAGGATCAACCCAGTTTCCTGGAACGAGAAAGGTTTCTCGGCATCATCAACACCATCTTCAAGAACATGTCTCAGATCGAGCGAGAAGCCATTACTTTCCAGGTATATATTCTCGTTAAATTTTCATCCTCCTGTTGTCAGACCCTCCACTCCTCAGCTCAGAAAACTGTTAAACAGCTCTCGAGGGCCTCTGTGGGCGAAATTTAACCTATTAAGGGCTGAAGAAAGAATTTTTCACTATGTGCCGTGTGTGCGTGTGTGTAAGGAATTTTCTTTTTTTTTTTTTTATTAAGCGGAATATATACGACTGCAGGAAATGAGTTCGCAAGAGAAAGTTATTCGGTTTTTCTTCTTTTTTTTTTCAAAATCATGAACTTAAAGGGTGGTGGAAAAATAAATACATTGAACAATATATGTATGATGAAATATATACGTTTAAATATAAATGTATATTTTGGATAAATTCTTGGAATTATATATATTGGAATAAATATATTTAATAAAGTACATATATATACAAATTTATATATATATATTAATTTTTGATATTTATAAATTATATATTAATATTATAATTATAATTATATATATTTATATGATTATTAATATATAATGATTATATTATATATTAATATTATATATTAATTTATTTTATAATTTTATATTTATATATTAGTATATATATTAACATCTATATATATTAATTTATTTTATAATTTTATAATTATATATTATTATTTAAAGTTATATATAAACATTTATATATATAATATATATTTATAAATTTTTATGTATATTAATATAATTTATATTATATATATTATATTTTAAATATTATATATTATATATATTAATATATATAATATTTTATATTAATTTTTATATATATATAAAGTTTTGGAATTATATATTGAAGTAAATATGTTGAACAAATTCTTAAACTTGTAACGCGAATATAGCAATATAGATAAAAGCTACGCGAAATTTCCAACGAAAATACCTGGAAGGCGTAGACGCACACTAGTCGCGAAGTGAAGAACTCGTCTTAAGTGGCACAGTTTGTCACATCGGCGTCAAGAATGAGTCTTGACAGTCGATATTCCGCTCACGTCCCGCCAAGGTACACCCCACGGCCGTGGATGAACAGCATAAGACGCTGGCTGCAGTAGCAATGGACCGCGCGAGTCAGACGGTCCTCGGTACTTTGTACCGTGTTCTCCGAATAAATGGTAGTGGCAGGCAAGAGTCAGACACACCTGGTTTAAATATTCCTGTCGCGTGATTGCGTCGCGGCAGCCTTTGAATTTTCATGTCACTCGGGCTTGAGCAAATTTCATTTGTAAGTATAAAGTATATTAACGTAACTAATGCACTTTAATAAATATATAGAAATGTAGTTCAATGTGACAGAGAGTAACAGTTTAATACAACGAGTTATTTTTAATATCTGTTCGAAGACGTAAATTCTGAAGCTCCTATAATAGATTGACAAATTATTTACGAAATAATAAGAATATCGAGATGATGGAGTAACGAGAAAAATTATTTTCATTCCCGGATAGACTAAAATACATCACAGTTATTTTAAATAGCATTTAGTTAATTAGGATGATGTACTATTTAGAGATGGAGCTGTATCTCTGGATAAGAATTGATCTCCAACGACTTTCTCTGAAATTATTATAAGTTAATTTTCTTTCGGAACTTTCCCTTCCTCTTTATCCTCTTGAAAGTATAATCTGTTTTAAGGATAGTTTGATTCGGTGTTCCTTTACCGATTGGGTAATTATAGTAGATAAATCATAATAGCTTTCGTATTTTGTTTTAACTTGTATTATCGCATTTTATATTATCTCGTGTGTAACAGTATTATAATATTAATTTTATATATTAATGTTATAATATATTAGCATTTCATATTTTATTATATTATTCTAAATATGAAAAATATTATTATAATGTATTATCATAATTATATTATAATATAATACATTATGATAATTATATTGTCTTAAATATTACAATTTCATATTATTATTATTATTTTTAATTTTTATATGAAATGTCGTTTCTTAAACACGATTTTCATAATGTATGCACATACATATATTTCCTCCAAAATGTCATGTATTTAATCGAAATAATTATTTCTATCTGATTTAATATAGTTAATGTGTATATCATATGTGTATAATTTGTACACAATATGTATATTAATGTGCATATCATGTACATTATGTTTACATATTATATTATGTTATAATGTATGTATAATGTATTTACATTATGTGTTATATTATATTACAATGTATGTACATCATACGTGTCGCGTGTAGTATATGTATTTGCATGTGATATGCATTAATATGCATCATACACATTATGTTTATATGTTATATTATAATATATGTATGTTTTACATTATATGTCATATTACATTATATCCTATATTCATCTTATATTATGTATATATCCTATACATTGTATATCCTATATTCATATTGTTTTATGTGCATATATATATCCTATACAGTGTATGTTCTATATTCATATTATATTGTATATGTCCTATGTATATCCATATATATTATACTATATAACATCCTGATATATGCATATTATACATCACATACATTATTGTACCACAGTATAATATACATTATAACATATGCACAGTGTAATATACATTATAACATATGCACAATATACTATACATTGTAACATATGCACAGTATAATATATATTATAACACAATGTCCCAATGCGTGGATAATATAATACCTGCTTACGACCTGCAGCACAACGATTATGCAACTATTATAAAAAATGGAAGCAAACTCCCCCCAACGTTCAAAGATAAATTTAATCACCGTTCATAGTACCAGAGGAAGATCATTCTCTGGAGATCAATCTTCGGAGAGATAACTGTTTCAAGACCCTCCACCCTATAGAAAACCACCCTCGAAACGTTTCTCCTTCCGAGAGAAGATAAGGTGTAAACCGTAGAACTTCCGAGGATAAAGGAGATTGACAAGATTCGAGTGGAGTAAATACGATGGCAGTCTCTCGCGTTAAGTCCGGATGGAAAGTCACTCGCCCATCGCCGCCCCTTTTTCGACGCGTTAATATCACGGCGGAAATGGCGGCCGACAAAGGGCCGTGGAACACTATGGAACGCTATATATAGGGTTGGCATCGCAGTTAACCGGGTACACGCGCAGTTAACCCTGTTCGAACGATGTTTCAAAGTGGCTCTCTAACTCTCTCGCTTCTCACCTGCACGTGAAAATTAAGCTTGCAGGCTTGTTCAGGGTGTGTGCGTTTCAAAAACGAGGGACCGTATTAGCGCAGTAACTTTTTTTTTTCTTTCCATTCATTGCAATATCGTATCGTCATAAAATTAGAAGATTGTACGTCGCTGTATAATAATGTCTTGCGATTTTGTTTAACTTTCTTTTTCAGCAGTCAGTTTTAACTTTAGTTTAGGTTAGTACTTGATGCTGTTTGATGAAGAAGATTCCTCAAGGTGGCGAGAAGTTAATAATTATTCGGTCGTTTATTTGATTATTTGATTATTGTATAATATATTATAATAATTTAAAAAAATATTCCATAGATAATTAAATAATCAAATAATATTTAATTATATTTAATATAATATATTATATTATGTTATATTATATTATATTATATTACATTACATTACATTACATTACATTAAATTACATTAAATTACATTACATTACATTACATTATATTATATTATAATAAATTATATTATAAATAATTGTATGTTATGCAATAATGTATTGTACGATGTATTATGTATTACAATTGTATATTATACAATAATATATTATATATTATAATTGTATGTTACACAATAATATATTGTACAATATATTATATGTTATAATTGTATGTTATACAATAATTACAATTATTGTACAATATCTTTCATCGTTACAATACAGTACAATATTGTATTTACAAACACATATTAAATACAAATATCGTATAACATACAATTATTGTATAGTATATTTCATTATTAATTTGATTATTTATGGAATTACAGCTTAAATATTTGATTATGTGATCGTCTGTGTAACTATTTTAGTGTTCGATTATTTGTTCATCTTTATTATTTAATTATCGTTTTAATTATTTGATTTCCTATCTAATTATTTGCTTGTTTATTTGATTATCCGAGTGTTTGTTTGGCTATTCGTTGGTTTATTCGATTCGCGGAATTATTCACGTGGAAAGTGTCGATGTCGAAATGTTTAATAGAAAACGCCGAGATTTCGTACGCGTGTAAACGAAAGCGCGAAACCTCACCCATGGGAAATTTAGGGGAACGTTAATGCACGCGTTTATTCCAATGGTCCAACGGGCATCGTAAATATTGGTTGTCTGTCGCGCGGACCGTCTGATATTTCAATTATGCGCCCGAGTTCAAATAACACCAGCTTGATATCGATCTTCACGAAAATCAATTTAAATCAAAAGTAAGTTGAAAATGAACTGAACTGTACTTTCCACGTTGCTTATTTTTCCAACGAAGGTAACAAATTATTCTTATGAAATTGTTCGTTGTTTGTTGTCTCAAATGTTTTAGAATCGCCGTTTAAAATCGTCTCTTTAAATCACTCTGAACAAAAATTCGAACGATTATTCCCAAAAAACGATAGATAGGAAAATGACACAAATTTCCATATTAAAAATTGTCCGATCGTTCGATCGCTTACGACTATAGTTGATGTACAATTGTTATTTGCACTATATCTATATTTTTGTTATTACTTTTAATTTTTAGAATTTCTTCTAAGAACTCACTTTGAATTCCAATTACTGTCTCTTCGTATTTCGAATCCCAGGTGACTCGAGAAACTGGAAATATATAAATTACAAAATTTATATAAATATATAAATTTTATATATTTATTTATATTATGATATTACAAAATGTTTACTTAAAACTGGACTTTACTTATATGAAATTCATATATATTTATATATTTATTTATGTTATAATATTATAAAATTTTTACTTAAAACTGGAAATATATAAACTACAAAATTTATATAAATGTATAAAT